GAATTCGAGTCGCTCCGGTGTTATATGACGGCGAACACCGAGATTCGCGAGATGAGTCATGACTTTATGGTTTATTTTGAGAGATCTTTCAAACACTTGCAGAAACTTTTCAGGCAATGATTCCTATTCAGTCCGTGCTTTTTTCAACGATATAGAGGATAATTTCCAATTATTCCCAAATCTTACCGACCAGCAAAAATTAGTTTTTGCGAAACGACTTGTTGTGGGTACTGCTAAAACTTTTTTGTTTTCACAACGGAATCTCAATTCATACGACATGTTTAAAACAGTATTACTTAATGAGTTCTCCGATAAAATTACGTCTATTGAAATTCATAAACAACTCGAAAGAAGAAAAATGCGCTCGAATGAAAGCTCTTTGCAATATTTTATCGCAATGCGCGAAATTGCGAATCGTGGTGACGGTGTTATCGACGAGGCTTCTGTCATTCAGTATACCATTCAAGGAATACTAGGTACCCCATCCGATAAAATTATTCTCTACGGTGCAAAATCATATTCTGAATTCAAGGAAAAGCTACGCACTTATGAATCTGTAGTTACGACTAGACATACAAATATCTCTCTCATCCATCAAATTTTAAAAATACGAATAATGGCCCCAGACGTGGTACTGGACGAAAAAAATTCAGACCAACAACACGGCACGAAATTTAATAATACTGGTCCATCTAAAACTAAACCACAAACTTGTTTTAACTGCGATGAGATCGGACACCTCTCACGGTCTTGTCCTAATCGTTCTCTTGGCCCAAAGTGTCTAACTTGTGGTCGCTCTGGACATATAAATCTATGGATTGCCGCCCCACTACATCAAATGAGACTTCACCTCCACCTGCCGAGGTAAATGCAGCACAAACCTCTCACGGTAATATGTGTAAAACTGTCGTTATACTCAATAGCACAGTTTCTGGATTAATTGACACTGGAAGTGAGGTCACATTACTGAACGAAAACACATGGATTCAACTTGGTTCCCCACCACTTTCAAATAATTCTGGAGTGTTAACTGGTTTCGGATTCTCGAAAATTCCTATTATTGGCTATTTTCAAACCATTATCAACATTGATAACCAGGACTTTCCGGCTAATATTAGAGTTGTTCCAAATCATTCTATGCAATTTTCTCTTATTGTAGGATGTGACGTAATTAAAAATGCTAAATTAACTATTACACCAGACGGTATATATTTTTCAAAACCTCCCGAGCAATGCTTTGAAACTGCTCCTGAATCTTTCATTTTTGCAATAAATGACGATGTTCCAGCTTTTGATATTGGTTCAAATGTTTCCAAAGAAACTCGTGCTGCGGCAGAACGTTTGCTGAATTCTTATGTCCCAAATAAAACAAAGACGACAGATATTAAACTTAATATCACTCTATCCGATGATAAACCGATTTTTCACCCTCCTAGACGCCTTCCTTTTGTTGAACGGGAAATTGTTGACAAACAAATAAATGAATGGTTGAAACTTAAAATTATTGAACCTTGTTCATCTCCATATGCCAGTCAAGTTCTCGTGGTGCGTAAAAAAGATGGTACACCCCGTGTTTGCATCGATTATAGGAAACTTAATCGACTTTTAATTAAGGATCATTTTCCTCTTCCTCTTATTGATGACATTTTGGATAAACTTCAAGACGCCCAAATTTTTAGTACTCTTGACCTACGTAACGGCTTTTTTCATGTGCCAGTAGCGGACGAAAGTAAACCATATACAGCTTTTGTAACTCACAACGGACAATTCCAGTTTCTTCGAATGCCATTTGGTCTTTCAAATTGCCCTTCAGTATTCCAGCGCTTAATAAATTATGTTTTTCGTGATTTAATTGTCAAAGGTTTTATTTTACCCTACATGAACGATGTAGTTATTCCGGCCAAAAATGAAAATGAGGCCATTCTTCGTGTCAACCAAGTACTCAAAGTTGCTAGTGAATATGGTCTAGAAGTTAATTTTCGTAAATGTCAATTTCTTCATAAAAAATCGAATTTCTTGGACATATCGTTGAAGGTGGTAAACTTTTTCCTTCCCCTTCGAAATCAAAATCTGTAATTAACTACCGAACCGAACCTAAGAGTACGAAAGACGTCCAACGCTTTCTCGGTCTCACGGGATATTTTAGGAAATTCATCCCCTCATATTCTAGCATTGCAAAACCCCTTAGTGATCTCCTTCGTAAGGACACCCCCTTTCAATTTCATGCTGATCAGAAAGCCGCATTTCACAGATTAAAATATTTGCTTTCTCAACAACCAGTTTTAAGTATTTTTAATCAAAAGAGTCCTATCGAAATTCATACCGACGCATCCATTGATGGCTTGGGGGCAGTCCTACTACAAAAATCTATGAACGATAACAGCTTTCACCCTGTCTACTACATGTCAAAAAAAAAATCGGACAATGAGCGTAAATACACCAGTTATGAACTCGAAGTCCTTGCAATTGTTGAAGCTTTAAAAAAGTTCCGTATTTACGTCCTTGGTTCACATTTTAAAATTATCACTGACTGCAACGCTTTTGTGCAAACTTTAAATAAAAAGGAACTCAATTCGAGAATAGCCCGATGGGTTTTATATCTCCAAGATTTTGACTACGAAATTGAGCACCGTACCGGCTCAAAGATGGCTCACGTGGATGCCCTCAGTCGCAGTCCATGTTGCATGACTATCCAAGACAGTGTCCTTCTCCAATTTCGCAAAGCACAAGAAACCGACGAGCATATTACGGCTATTAAAGCACTCCTTCAAACAACGCCTTCGTATGATAACTTTCTCGTTAAGAACAATCTCCTGTACAAAAACGTCAACGGCATTGACTTACTTGTGGTGCCTGAGGATATGCAGGCAAATGTCATTAAAACAGCTCACGAACGAGGCCACTTCGCCGTAATCCGCACTCAAGAACTTTTAAACAACGAATATTTTATCCCAAATCTGAAAGAAAAAATTGAGCGGTGTATCCATAACTGCATCCCATGCATCCTCAATAATCGAAAGCGTGGCAAACAAGACGGACTTACTGCACCCCATTGACAAAGACGACGCACCCTTGCACACGTACCATATCGACCACCTAGGTCCCCTTGCCACCACATCAAAGAAATACAAACATATTTTGGCAGTTATAGACTCGTTTACTAAATTCGTGTGGCTTTATCCGACAAAGTCTACAGACGCAGATGAAGTTATCAGTCGGCTGGAATCTCAAAGATCAGTCTTCGGAAATCCTTCACGGATTATCTCTGATCGAGGCCCTGCATTCAAATCCACTGCATTTGCAAACTATTGTGACACACAGAGAATAAAGCACGTTCTTATTACAGCTGGCCTCCCACGATCGAACGGTCAAGTTGAGCGTTTGAACTCCATTATTATTGCTGTCCTTTCTAAACTCTCCATAACCAACCCTGAGCAATGGTACCGCCATGTTCCCGCCGTGCAACAAATTATTAATTCAACTTTTCAACGTAGCATCAATTCCACTCCCTTTGAACTTCTCTTTGGGACTAAAATGAAATCGCAAAACGACATAAACATCGCTGCTCTAATCGACGAGGAGATCAAATCTGCATTCATTCAGCAACGTGACGATCTCCGTAAGGACGCAAAACAGCAAATCTCTAAAGTGCAAGACGAAAATCGCCGTACTTATAATTTGCGACGAAAACAGGCACAAAAAATTTCAACTTCATGACCTCGTGGCTATCAAACGAACTCAGTTTGGCCCTGGTCTAAAACTCAAACAGAAATTTCTCGGACCTTATAAAGTCACCAGGCTCAAACAAAATGACACATATGATGTGGAAAAGTGTGCATTTTTCGACGGACCATCCAAAACATCTACTTGTGCTGAATACATGAAACCCTGGTCCAACAATATTGAACGTATCACTTAATTTTTATTAAACTGTCAGCATTATAGGTCCTCCTGTGTTTGGACAGATGACACCTGAGAACTTTCTAATATTTTTTTTCCTCATATCAACTTTTTAATTCATTTTGTCATACTAATGTTCTTTTTATTTTTAGTTAACTGCTGTGTGGTGTGTTTAATCTATTTTTTTGCTCCATTTGTGTAAGTATCCTCAGCTTTGTATCTACAGATTATTTTTTCATACCAATGTTACTATATTATAATAATTTTTTTTTAATTTGATGATATACTATGTTGCTTCAGGCGAGGTCGCCTGTCCGGTCATGATGGCCGAATGTGGGAAATGTTATGTCATGATATTCCCTAATCCCCTACTGTGTGACGTATGCATTGCGTCAGCATGTGTTTCCCGCCTTCGGGAGAAGACGAGGACTAGCTGGCAAGCGGAGCACACGTCGCTCAACCGCTCGTATATTATTTCATTAATTGTAATCCTAATGTAATCTATGTTTGTAGATAGTAATAAATCTGTGTTATCAACTATGGTCATTGCCTTCCCCCACAATTGTTATATCTTGATGGGTCATTGCGTCAAGAGTTATACAAAAGTCAGCTGATTGTACTGGGTTTAGCGACTTGGGAATTATTCTGCATTAATATGCAAGATTTAGAGAACAATCACTTAACTAATAACCATTTTATACATCTTTTAGATAAATTAAATTTTATATAATGATAACATTTATTAAACAAATCTAGTCATATGAAAATCTATGTAGATTAGATTAATCTAAGCAAAATTGTTCTGCATGAGGTTAATACTTCGAATTATGTCAAATTTTTATGGTAAAAGTAATTTGTATTTGCTAGAGTAACTGTTCACATAATTTATACAGTTGATTTATGTTTTTTAAATTACATTTTAATTTAACAAATTTTAAATTACATTTTAATAAAAGCTATTAATTGCCCTTAAAATTATTTTAATTATAAATAAATAATTCATTCAGCTAACTTGAAAGCAACCAGCTTTATTTTATAGATAAATGGCATATATCTAAAAAAAAGTTACATTTTTTATGAATCAAAATAGTGATGCTTACTCTTGGATACATAGAAGAATCGAGTTCCCTCAGGGCCTCCAAACTCCATTCATAAGCCTGAGCAAAATAACAACAACAATAATAATAAACAGAAAATTTTAAAAATAAATTAAAAATTTTAATGTAATAAAACATATCTATAGTTACCTCTTGATAGTTATTTTGACCAAAATTTAGGACAGAAAACTCTCCATAAATACTGGCAAAATTAACATCTAGTTCCAATTCTTTGATTGTTTCTATGCATGCTTGGGCTTCATAAAATGTTTCTTGGGCATCTTTAAATTTGCAATATATGTTTTGTGCACGCAGCAATCTTTAAAATAAAAAATATTCTTATAAGTAACTACAAACAGCATACATTACTGATTCATTTCAGCACCTATTAAAAGGCAAAAAAGAATTAATTTACATCAATGAACACAGCCATCAAACTTATTCAAATTCAAACTCACATAACAGTTTTCAGCAACAATGTAATTTTTAATAATGCATATATATTACACATAAGATAAAAAATGTGTGAATATAAATTATAATTTAAATTGCTGCCCCAAAGACTGCTGCTTGCTGCTTTCCCTTCTTCTGCAAAACAATATCAAAATGTAACTGTTCTGGAACAGGCACAAATAATGTTTCAAGTGAATGAAATAAAAATGAATATTTAATCTGTTGTTTTGCAAAAGACAAAGCAGCAGTATTTTTGGCAACAGAGGTAGAAACAAAAGCACCTTTTGTTTAGTATGAAATCTTTATTCAGAATGAGTTAGTTTTGGTTTCAATGCATTTGATTGGATAATTAATATTGCTGTAAAATTATTATTGGTTGTTTGAATTTTAGTTCTTTTAGTTACCAACATTATGTAACAGTCATATGATATGGACAAGTCTCAACACAATTCAGGAAAAGCTACTATATTTAGACTAGCGAGGTGAAATACACAAATTAAAATTAAGCATTAAGGGGCTATTGCTAATCTATTTTAATTATCACAGGATGGTATTGATTATGTACATAGACCATGACTAATTTACAAATCACCATGCCAAACTTACAAATCTGCATCTTTTATTGTTTATATTTCATTAATTTTCTCCATTAGTTTTGGATTTTTATATTATGCCCCCCCCCAAAAAAAGCTATTTCACAGGAGTTGAATGCATACATATTTTTTTTTGTAAAAGTCATGAATAAATTTTTCTCAGGTTTCATATATCTCTGCTTTAGGTGTCAGGCTGATAAAAATAAATTTCAATTTTAAAAATATAATACCATGCTCATTCAATTACACACTGTTCATTTGTATTATTGCTTCATATCTGATACACTTTCTTTCTTTCTTGGAAATTTATACTATTAAGATCTGTGCATGTCTGTCTGCTTGTTTGTAGCATTATCTCTTCCTGAACAGTGGCGAGTTCAGTTCTGAGGGAGATACCCTCGGATTCCAAAAAGTGGGAAGCCATTTCGACCATTCTCATCTTCGTACGACTTTAATCCTCTGAGATATTAATTAAAAACTAAAACTCAGAAAACACTAATTTTTGCCCTCATTTTTCAGAGTGGCAACAGTCTCACATGCTGGAGATAAGAATCTGCTTTATTTCGAAAAGTATTACCACTGCATGCTTTCAAACTGCAAAGTTTGTTAATAAAGAATTTGTAAGCTTTACAAAACAAAAACAGCAATGCCAAACATTAAATATGTTATTATATAATGTCATATTCTGAAGCTGAAGAAAGCCAGCGATTGCATGGGACGTCATTGTATGTTGAAAATTTTTCGTTAATGTCAGCATTTTAAATAAGTAGCTGCTTTGGCAACTCTTTTGTTTCAGGTTAGGATAATTGACATGGTATGTTATTGCCAGGTTAATTCTTTTACTGACACTGCAAAAAAGGCGTTATATTACATTAAGTTTAAATCATGATGTCACATGTATACATATTAACCTCTGAAATGTCAAAAGCTTTTGTTTTCTGGTTTGGCAAATATATATATATATATATATATATATATATTTATGAATGGACTGGAAAGAATGAACCATTATCATTCATATTGAAATGTTTTTATGCATCTTCCTTTCAGTTGTACATAGAACTTGTAAATTTTGCTTTGGTCCCAGCCAGCTCATTACAATAATTAATTCTGAGTCATGAAGTTTTTCATGAAACTGTATATATCATGGAACATGAAGATTTCATGAAATTTCACTATTTCTCCTGAAAATATTTAAGAAATTTTTTAAGTAATACAGTCAAAAGTCTTTAATCCAGACTCGTCGGGACTTCGGCGATTCCGGATTATCGATTTTTCCGGATTACAGATCATCAGTTTAAATCTGGTGAGATGGCATACAGAAATTATAAAATTAAAAATATGAAACAAAGAGCAATTATGATCTAAAGAGTATCAAAATTTTTTAAAAAAAGCTTAATATTTATTTATTTACTTTATTAAACATTTCTTTCAACGCATGCATGCGTAAAGCATACATTACGCATAGCCGAAATTAGAAAATTGCAACCAGAAAACTATTTGATTTGTATTCATGATATTTATAATGATGAGGAATTGGATTTAAATCATATCAAAGACGGAGTACATCGAGATGAAATACTGCATTTAGTAAGGAATTATAAGCCGAATAAAATAAAAACATTTGAAGACAAGGATAGTGCTGACAGATCAACTTCCAGTTCATTGCGCGCCACGACGTTCCCCTCCCCACGCAGAGCAGCGTGAAATTGATAAACAGATTTCGGAATGGTTAGATAAACAAAGGATATGTCTTTATCCATTTTTTGCAGCAATTCCACTTTTTGTTTGATGGACGTGGAAACATACTTTCGCTTTGTAGATTTCTTTGGCAGCTCCAGCATCAGAAATTCTATTTGACATAATCGAAAGTTCCAACTTACTTTTATAAAATTCTTCTAACAGTCTGCAAAAAATAATAAGCCGTATCCAATTCAAAGATTAAGGAACAACGCAATCTGCAACATTAACTGAAATAGATAATTTTAGCTTACCTTATACTGTTCGTTATACATTAAACGTGCATGCGTAAACATTATTATGTGCATGCGTACTCGCATATGCGCAGGCGAAAAGGTATTATGCGCAAGCGTCAACGCATGCGCAGAAAGTTTGTAGCTTTGAGGTCCGAATTATAGATGATTCCAGATTATGGGTGACCGAATATATATCCGACGTTTGACTGTAAAACAATAACCTTCTGATTTATAAGAAAGTTTTTTTTTTTTTTTTTAAGAAACTGAATTAAAATAGCACATTATTAATGAAATATGGAAATCAATTTAAATTTATAATTTTTATCATTTACAAAATATTTATTAGCTATTTCCAAGCTCAGTTCAACAAAGAATTGAAAACATTATTGTTTTAGCTGCATTACATTACTGGTTTGTAATTCACACTTTTTTCTCAGCACTATTCAGTGATGGCTTTCACAAGTAGGATTGTTGTATTTTATTTACAGCATCAAATTAATGCTACATAAACTACTAAACAACAAGACAAGAATGAAAGTTCACATTAATATATATAAAAAATATACATACCTGACATAACATTCTAAAATGATAGGATATATATTTATTTTATTATCACTATCCTGGGCTATTTTGAATCTTTCGGATCTGTCGCATGAGTAGCATAACTCTAATAATGATTTGAAAACAATTTCACTCTCTAGAAACCAACCAGCATCCATTAAAAAATTACCTAAAATAAAATAAAAGATAAATAATTGCTTATATATCAAAGGCTTAAAAGGAAAAGAGAACAAATTAACAATATCCAATTTTTTTAATGGTTTCCTGAATATTTTATTAGATAGCCATAATGTGTAAAGTCAAAAAGAAAGATTATGTATCATTTAAAGACAGAAAAATTGAAAGTCCTAAATAAGTCTGAATGCAAATATTTCATGTAAACACTTATAACAAAGTAGAGACTAATATCCATCTCTGTATGAAAATTATATAGAAGCTCAACTGACTTCAAGAATTTCAGAATAGACAAAAATCTCTTTGTTACTATTTTTTCTTTTCATTTAGCGAAATAATCCCCTATCACGAAATTACATAATGAGTTCCTAAGCATATTATTGCCCATTTTACAAACTTTTATTGAGCATTTTAAAAATAAAAATCTGATATGGCCAGCACATAACCTACCATCACTTTCATGTTTTAAATAGCAACAAGCTTTTAATAAAGTATCACTTCCGGTTGATCATTTTGTAAACAAAATCAAATAATTTATTCCAATAAATATAAAGGTCTATAATAAGAAATTTTGGATTACATTTAAATTTTGGATTAAATTTTGGCTACTAGTCTTAATTTAAAATTTTGTGTCTATTTCAATTTTATGTCAACTAATTTTTGTGATTTTTGTTGTTGAAACTAATGTGATATGTGAAGGAAGTCCTTTTGAATAAGTAAATAATTAACAAATGAAAAAGTTGGTCATATTTCTTATTTGCCTCAGGAAAACTAAGAAAACTGGACATGAATATCATGTTCTGAGAAAAAAAAGAAAATGTCAGCAAAACTTACATTCTATTGAAAATTCTAAAGGTATACTGCTTTTAAAAATTGTGTGATTGTTTAGTCATTGATTTGGGAATCCAAAACAATACACCACTACAAGACATACTACTATTGATGCAGAGTTTTCAAATCAAAGCATGGGAATGCATGTGTACATGAACACATATAGTTTTTTCCATTGTATGGGATAACAGAATAAAAAAATGAGTATTCCTAACAGCAAAGCTGATGAACTTTGATATCAGAAAGACCATATTTAAACCTGGGAGGGGGAGAAAGAAAGAAAGATTAAAAAATAAATAAAATCTGAATGCTTTCAGATTTTACATTATGCCCAAAGAGGCCTTTTCTTTAATGTTTTGTGTGCTGCCTTTGTTTATTAAATGTCATGTTTTTATACTTAAACCATAAAATTCAATTAAATTCAACAGCAATATCGTAAAATAATTTTAAAATGAGCATACCTTTAGAATTTATGATACACAGTATCGCACGCTGAAGTAAAAATGTTTTCTTTTCTGTACAATATCGCCATTGCTCGCTTTGAAAACTTTGAGTTTGTTAATCAAAAATTTGTTAAAGTGTTACAAAATATGAAACAGATAACAAAACAAATTTCAAATTCCAAATTAGGGCTTCTAGATGTCCATATTCAGTGGAAGATTACGTTATTCAAAATGTGATGGCTCTAGGTACCATTAGTTTATCACAATTCGAGAAACATTACATACATACATTATTAATTATTTAATTTCTTCATTATTTAATTTCTTTATATATAACACAGGACTCTAATATTTGGTGGCAACAATTCGAAAAGTGAATCGATATTTATAGTAAACCAACGCAAAATGTCAAAACGAAATTATTAGCCCTTCTGAGTTAACACCCTATGGGCTAAAAATAAAAAATAAAGAAGACAAAAACTCTCTGGGTAACAGTAAAGTCAGAATTTTTCACATTTAAAAAAATTTTACTTTTCCCTCAACTGTTATTTTGCTTTGTGAAAATAATGATTATTACATCTAAAACCACTACAGACTGGCATTTTTGAAACTTGAAACTACACCTGAAACGAAGGTCATGTTTTTCAAATATGACTGACTACCTCTGTTTGAAGTTTAAATAAAGTGTAACTTATCACTTAGTGACACAATTTGGCAAACCTTATTTTACTGATTCTTTATTTTTCATGAAAATCTGTTAATACCACTTCCAATTTACCATATATAGTCAAAATCTAATATGTTCTCAATCCATATAAGAGATTTTAAATACCATATACATTCACACACTGGTGTATTGATGCTGACCAAAATAATAACTAATTCTTAATTCTTGCTTTTTAATGACCAGGATTACACTTTCGGCCCTTATAAAGTTGCGGGTAGGGGATCAGGGGGGACGGCACCAGAGGCTATGAATTTGCTGCCCTTAAATTCTGCTGCCTAGTGCCTCTCCTAAATTCTAAACATTTTCCCACTCCTAATTTTTGCTGCACAGTGCTCATCTAAATTGTAAAATTTTTGCTACCAGATGAGGTTGCATCTGCTTTCACGCAAACCTGTTAGAGATTAGCATGCAATATAGACATATCTACATACAGGGTGTTTATAAAGTCCCGGACCCATTTTGATGTTTAATAACTCATAAAATAATAAAGATAGATTAAAATTAATAACATAAATGGTTACATAGACTCAAAAAGTTTCATGACCCTTGTCAATGAACTTCCACGTGTGGCCCCCTTTGTCGCACAGAGAACATCAATTCGATATTCAATTCCACGCTAGGTACCGGCAAGCATGTTGGCATCCACAGAAGCTATTGCGGTTGTAATTCTGGCTTTTAGGTCATCAATGTTCAACACTCTCCTCCTGTAAACATTGTCCTTTATAAATCCCCAAAGGAAAAAGTCTAGTGGCGTTATATCAGGTGATCTGTGTGGCCAAGGAACTGGACCTCCTCGTCCAATCCATCTTCCTGTAAAATGGTCATCCAAAGGACTATGAACGATGGTACCCCAATGAGGTGGTGCACCATCTTGTTGCAAAAAGACATGTGGCTCAAGCTCTTCTAGTTGTGGAAATACGAAGTTTTCCAACATGTCTAAGTATACGACTGATGAGACAAAAGAAAGACCCAATGACTCGGTCGTGCATTAGTCCACACCACACATTAACATCTGGGGAATCCCTTTGTGCTTCACGGTATTCATGGGGGTTTTCAGCTCCCCATATGTGCACATTAGGGACATTAAAAGAGAAAAAATGCAATTAATAAGCAGACGATATTTAGATTGGAAATTGAAATTATTTAAAATTAATCACACGCACAAATGATATTTACAAAAGTAAAGATATTCAAGCCTGAAAAGGAAAATATATAAGTTATTCCATCAATAAATGCCATAAGTTTGTTTATATCTTCATTATTTTATGAGTTATTAAACATCAAAATGGATCCGAGACTTTATAAACACCCTGTATTATCTTACTAGATTTAAACTGATGATCTAAAATCTAGAAATCTCAGAAATCTGGAATCGCCCACAGTTCAGGATCTCAGACTTTGTACTAATAGTATTATGAAAGCACAAAAAAACTTTGCACTAAAGTATTATGAAGTTTCACACATATAAAAACATTTTATAACTTATCTAACATGTAAATTTCATCTGCACTAAGTACTTTTAAGGATACATAAATGTTTTATAAAAAACAAAAATTAGAAAGAAATTCAAAGTGAAACTGATGTGATGTAAATTCAGAAATTTTAAATTTATTATTTTAGCATACTATTAATTTGTTTCCAGCTCATTCAGAATTTCATATTCCTTTTTTAGAAGTATGCCTGAAAAAATATTTATATGGATTACAACTTGAGCTTAGTTATACCACTTATTTTAACAATGAATAAAGAATAAATTTTTATTGAAAACAAAATTATGTAGTATATAAATATATATACCGTTTTTCTCATAATTAAAAAAAAAAAATTGGTAAAAGTTTACAATTGGGTGCCCCTTGTTTTTTGGAGATTCTTTTTTGACACCAAGATTGGCGGCAGAAAGGCACAATTTCATGATGGCTGTGACACAAAACCAAAATAAAAAGTCAAAGAATTGCACAAACTCTGTGTTCATGTACACATCGACCCGTTTTCACTTAAAGAAACATCCCAGAATTGCACAAACTAGGCACCGCGCACTGCCTGAAATTTGCCCATGTACACATCAATCTATTTTCATTAAAAAAAAACAACAACAGGAAGTTAAAACAAAGTTAAAACTATCTTCGTAACCAGAAATGAGGTTTCATTGCCAATATTAAAATAAATAAAAATATCGCTAATTGAAGGGGCACCTAATTCTACACTAGAGCCAAAAATTTTTATTACTTAAAATTCTTAGATTTTTCTATGTAATTTCACAAGTAAGGAGATCCAGGGTCTATGCCCTGGTTATGTGACTTAGTTTATTTACGTCCAATAGGTGGCAAAATAAATGAACACAAAATTTACAAAAATGAAACTTTTTATGCTAAAATTAAGATTTGAAAGTAATTCACAAGAAAAAAAATTCTAAGTATTGTAAAATTTAAATAAACATACCTAGACCAAACCCAAATTCAATCAGTTTTTTCCCCTCATTAAGAGATGAAATACAAACATCTGAGCATCGGACTCTGTATTTCTCAGCAAGTTTAGACGCGATTTGAGAACCATAGTTCATTAATGCTTGAAAGCAATTATGAAGCAGATGCCTAAACAAAAATGTAAAGAATATTATTTATGCTGATTTTAAAGCAAATGAATAAAAAAAAAAAAAAAAGATACAATTTACAATTAAAACCGGCTGATCTTTGGAATATGGTAACAGGTAGTTTGGCAACATTTTGGAGGCGATAAAGGTTACTACCTAGGACTTTGGTAATAATGTGAGACGTACTAAGTTCCGATTACGCATTATTTTGTGTGAGGGAAATGAGAGATCATGAGATATGTCATGTGACATTAATGGACGAATTACAGTTCTTTAATCGGAAAAGGGGGTAAATTTGGAAAAATTATTTTGTATTAAGCTTCATCGTGTGTTGTGTGAAATAGTGTTGATTAATTTTTGGATTGCATGGTGCTATGTAAAGTGAATTCTAAATTTTTAATGTGTTTATCTGATAATAATAAGTTGATATTGTGTGAAAGGAAGGATATTACAGACAAGTTTGAATGGTGGTGCAAGTAATCTGGTGAAAATGGACATTTTGTGAAACGGAGTGTAAGGAAGGGTACTGAAAGTAGTTTGAGTATGGGTGAAATTTTATTAATTTCTTATTACTTGGTAAATAGACTGCCAGTTTATTACTGGATTTCGGATTTAGAAATTAGCATTAGTACTGCAGCCAATTGGAACTCTTTCTGTAGGGAAGTGTGCATGCCACGTAATGAAGATTCTGAAGAAGATTAGGTAAGTTAGTATTTTTAATCATTTGAGGATATTATTTTTATGCATTGTTCTAAATGTAAGGAGTAAATAAATTAATATGGTATTATTGGAAAATTGTTATTAGCACAATGATTTAGTTTAAAGTAATAGGATTGTAATCTATTTTTTTTATTAATTTAATATATGTGCTTATTTATATTTTAAGTAGTTTTTTTTAATTTAATTATATTTTAATTAATGATCGTGATTTTGTGAGTTATATGTTTGTAGTATTTTGGAATATATTTGAGTAGTATAGTTGAGTATTTTCCTGCATTCGTGAAATTTTCTAATTTATGGGAAAAAAGCAGTGTACATGGATATAGTGAAGAGTGTGTGCAATGCCATTTTTGTGCAATTCTGGGATGTTTTTTTAAGTAAAAATAAGTCGATGTGTACATGGTTTAGTTATATTTTAATTAAATGATAGTTATTTTGTGAATTTTATGTTTGTAGCAATTTGGTATACGTTTCAGTTGAAAGTAAACGTATATGGAAATAATTTAAATATTTGACACTAAGTATTTGTAACTATTTTTAATGTTTGCGGTATAAATTCGTTAGTGACGTTTATAATATAATAGATAATTTAGAGGTAAAAGTTTTTGGATATTTTATTTATTTTATACGTGGAAATGTTCATCCTTGGAAAGGGTATATACTTTTTCGCGATGAGGTAATTTCATATATGTTCTTTTTACCGGATTTAAAGATTCACAAAATTTTCATGCATTTTCGTGAAATTTTTCTAATTTATGACAAAAAAGCAGTGTACATGGATATAGTGAAGAGTGTGCGCAATGCCATTTTTGTGCAATTCTGGGATTTTTTTTTTAAGTAAAAATAAGTCGATGTGTACATGGTTTAGTGATATTTTAATTAAATGATAGTTATTTTGTGAATTTTATGTTTGTAGCAATTTGGTATACGTTTCAGTTGAAGTAAACGTATATGGAAATAATTTAAATTTGACACTAAGTATTTGTAACTATTTTTAATGTTTGCGGTATAATTCGTTAGTGACGTTTTTATAATATAATAGATAATTTAGAGGTAAAAGCTTTTGGATATTTTAGTTATTTTATACGTGGAAATGTTCATCCTTGGAAAGGGGTATATACTTTTTCGCGATCAGGTAATTTCATATATGTGCTTTTTACCGAGTTTAAAGATTCAGAAAAATTTTCCTGCATTTTCGTGAAAATTTTTGTAATTTATGAGAAAATAGCAGTGTAGATGGATAAAGTTAAGAGTGTGTGCAATGCCATTTTTGTGCAATTCTGGGATTTTTTTAAGTAAAAATAAGTGGACGTGTAAATGGTTTATGTGTATGTGCTATTCTGAAAAACGCGCAAGGAGTTTGCGATTGTGCACTTTTTTCCAATTTTGCAGTTAATATTTATCATGATTAAGCAGTTTTGTTACATAAAATTTCTAGCATAAATGTAATTCGGCTAGTAGATTGTTGGAAAAAGTGTTGAGTAAATAAAAAGAAAAGAAACATGTCTTTACTTCGTGAAGACAAAATGGCGGCGAAAAAAAAATAGAGGGTTGCTGTAGCAGAGTTGGTCGCCAAATATTCCCCAAAAAATCGACAAGTTACCATAATCCAAAGATCAACCTTAAAACCTAGTAAATATACTATTGATTAATAATCATTAAAGATTTCAGAAAATAAATAAGTAATAAAACTTAGTAAAAAAGAAAATAAGAATAAATGATTATTTTTTCAGACAATCAAAGCATTTGTTATAAGGTCTATTTAAATTTCATTAAAATACATTTTAACTTTCAAGTTTTTATATTGAATATTAAAAAAAAAAAAGAAAGAAAGAAAAAAAAAAAAAAAAAGAAAAGAAAACGCGATGAAGAAAATATTATTTAATTACCTTTTATCTTTTACTTTTAATACTTTTTCAAACACTGATAAATCTTCAAATTCAGTACTTAATTGAAACAAACGTCCTTCTTTGTATAGCTATAAATAAATAAAATTATAAGACCGTTTCTTACAATAACTGAAGGAATACTGATAACTGTACTGATAACTGAAATACATACTTTCATTCAGAGATAAAATAACACAGAATATATTTCATTACTACCTTCATTAAATTTTAAATAGACTTAACATTTAAAATGTACTTTTAAATATAAAATTCATTCATTTTACAATCACTTTACACATAAATAACGTTGCTTTCTTGAGACAAGATAACAAATAACGAGTAATATTGCGTTTACAAAAATGCACAGAATGTTTACAAAAATTTATATTCTTATATAAATAGTGCATATTAAATTACTAATGTTTTTTATTTGCGCAAAAACTATTTAACTATGATACGAAAACGCAATAATAAAAAAATCTGCAAATGAAAAGTTACATGAGAGTACGATGAGTTACGATGAGTAATATCTTAGTAGATCTATTTCAACGTGATCATTCGAAATTTGTATGTTTGCACGCATTAGAAGTGTAAACAATACTCAACATATGATTGCGCTGGACTATAAAGTAACACAACTAACCTTATAATGCACATCAAACAATAAATCACAATGAAATGTCCTTAATTCTGTTTGGAATAAATAATAATTAGCTCCAACAGCTGTAATACAGTAATTATAAAGTTTATCAGGTATCCAATGCAGAGCAGACGCCATGATTTCTATTCCATTGTTGCCAAACAAACTGTAAATATTAGTCCTGATGTCTGCAAAACATCTGTTTCATCAGTTCCTTCAAAGTATTTCGATCATACCTAATTTCCAATTATACTATTATTATATTTTTCTGAGCAGCTAAACACATGAGGATTACGGTAAATCCTAATTATATTATATGGTTCGCGAGTCTAAAAAGCTTGAGAATCACTGAGTACAACTACTCATAACGAAAAAAAAAAAAAAAAAAAAAAAAAAAAAAAAAAAAAAAAAACATCTTTTTATATATCAACAGAATTAGAGTAATTAGAGTAAGAACATCCGCTTTGGATTTTATAGCCTCAATCAAAAAGAAACGCAAACTTTGAAGTACGGCATTTTATAGTATCATACTAACAGAAATACAAAGGATGCACCGTGGAGAGGTAAAACTGCTTTTATTGGGGGCCAAAGGATTCGGCTAGGGTTCAAATCCTGTTTGAGAGCTGTTAAAGACCGTACAATAATTAATATCCTTATTTTAACTTAACTACTACTTCACCTATAATTTTTAACTTTGTTTTTGCTATTACCGTAATTTCCGGAAGAAAGGCCGCATCAGCGTAAACGCCGCACTCGAGAAAAATGGCGGAAAAAAAATTAAAATTACACAGAAACGCCGCATCAGCGTAAAGGCCGCAATAGATTAAATTGCGCGTGGGCCGTATAGATGCAAAAACTCAACCTAAGTCCTGATATATGACATACCAGTTAGGAAAAATGCATGAAATGAAACCATAACTCAAAAATAAATTAAAGGTAAGAAATGTATAGCTTTTGTGCCGTTTAGAGACATTTTCAAAAATTTTCCGCTCACTAATTAAAAACTGTCCAACAAGTACTTGTACCCAAACTGATGGGATCTGTATTTGGCAGAATGCCAAGAAAAATCCATTCATGCTGAAGGGGAAATACGTCAGAGTTCGTTATTGCGAGGCAGGTGGAGTCGTGTCCGCCTTTGAAAAAAATTGCAGAAAAGGCAAGGGTGGGGAGAGGATGGGTCCTGGAAGATTCATCGAATGGCAGAGGAGAGAGACTATTCAAACTGATGAGAATGTTGATTTGAAAGGGGGAAGAATGTTATTGTTCTGAGATATTGTTTAGGGTGAATAAGGCATGTAGGTCTGTTCAAGGGAAAGAATGTAAACAAAATAACTTTCTCAAAAAGCAACTGAGTGGTCTTTTGTGTGGGAACAGCACCAGTCTATGCACAATGACAAGGCCATCCAAACTATGTACAATGACCATCATAGGAAATATTTTATTTTTAGTGCACCTAAACGCCGCATGGGTAGAAACGCCGCACCCGCTGAAAATTTAAGTTTTAAACACGTAAACGCCGCGGCGTTCCGGAAATTATGGTACTTTTTTTGTTGTTGAATGCCAACGATTATTATTGTTATTAAGAAAAATATTCTTTCGTTTTTACGTAATCCTCACGGACTGGAGGAAACGGCGTTCGCGAAAGTCCTCATCTCCTTTTTTCTTGCTTAAAAGCAAGATTGCTACAGATTTTACGTAATGTTTAAAGCGCAGTGTTTTCAGTTTTTTGATTTCAGCTCTTTGATTGTAAATCATTAAATAATAATTAATGTTAAAGTAGAAGAAAGGTCTTTACCTAAATAAGTATGCTTACCTAGATTTCAATGATCATTTCGACTTGCCTCTGCACGTATTAGATGTAAATACGTGTGAACAATATTTTCATATATTATCATCAATTTTTAAAAATATTGTTGCGTTTTACGGCTTCGTGGATTTGGAGTAATTGATGATTACATAATGAATGATATATATATGTGTGTGTGTGTTACGGTGAAACACCGGAATCTGGAGAATGTCGACTTTCACCGGTGAATGTCAACAGCATAGTCACAATGCCTACAGACCATTTGCTACGGTCTGCTCTCATTGGATGAAACATCTGATAGGCGATCATATTTGGAATGGCGAGTTATCGCTCTGTAGGCGCAGTAATTAACGCCAAACAAACGGAAACAGCGTTTATTTCATTCGATATTTTTTTTAGTTTATGAATGAAAGCTTGGAGGAATTGTGTGGAATATATTTTAAATAACTTACTGATCTCATTAATATTTTATTTGTATTTGAATTTAAAATTTTAAAAGTGCGTAATTGTTTTACAAGAAAAAGGTGTTTACACGGAGATAGCATGTGCACTTTTTCTTCATTTCTGTTAGAAAGAGTCTGTTGTGTAATTTCCATAGCGCATTAATTTATACAAATAAAGGGATATTAAAAAATAAACCAAATGAAAACATTCAGTAAACATTTAAGGGCGTCGGATACCTATTCTTTTTTACCTAAATTATGAAAAGTAAGTATAACTAAAATTATATTTTATTCCATTATGCGCTATTTCTATTGAAATGCTTTTCGTGATCTTGGATCGTAATTTTGCTACACGTACCTCCTACAAGGAGTACAAACCAGTAAATCAAAATAAGAAAAATTAACAAAAATAGAGAAAATAAAGGCTGTCGTGAACATTGTGAGTTTAAGAGAAAATAATGAGCGGTTTGTTAAAATTTAGATCAGATGAAAGATCTTTTAATATATAGCATTTTAATACTATTCAGCACAGTGTAATAGGTTCATTTTACAGTACGCAACATCCTCAAAAATGATCGTTACAACGCAGTTCGATCATCCCTCTTTTTGAACAACAATCTCTCTCGTTGCCATTCCGTAACAGAGAAACTTACCTCTCATGGAGTTCGATAGTGGCGCGACATTCTCCCCACCTTGAGTTTGGGGATACAAACTCAAAACAGTAATATAATGATAATACATACATACAATTTTGAAATAATAATAACGTACGTAATAATAATAGAAATATTTCAAAATATTAGAATGCAAATAGAAATCAATATTTTAGAGTTCAAACACAGAAAGTTCAAAAGTTTGTTTAGAAGTTATAAATCCAGTCTTTTAACTGGTTTTATTTTTCGTCTTGAGCGAGACACGCGAACAGTTTCATTAGAGTCAGTATTAAGCTCAGGATTTTCAGCTACCACTTCCGGAACCTTTTGAGGTTCCGATACGACTTGCTCGTAATTTGGGGTCAATTCCAAAGGATACAGTCGTTGGATTGGTCTTAATATGTTTCCCTTTTCAGTTCGCAGTTTCACAAGTCTGATGATTCCATCTTTTCCTGGAAAGAGTTCCAGTACTCTCCCTAGCAGCCAATGGAGCCTTTTTTATCATCTGTACCAATTAATGCCACCTACATTTATTTTATCTTCTCTTGTTAACTGAAGAAAGGAGGAAACTCAGATACTCCCTTTTAAATCTAAGTTTTAGATTTTCACGAACCTTTTGAATATGTCCCCATTTCAAAACAATATTAGTCTTTTCAATTTGATCCAAATCAGGAACATCATTTAATGGAATATCCTGAAGAAACATTGAGGGGGTCAAGGTCTTCAGCTCTTGGTCCTCGGTTATGCAAGTTAATGGTCTGCTATTCATGACATTCACATTTACAGACGAGAGTCTGCAGTTCCTCATAAGTCAAACAGGATTGCCCAAGATTTTTTTCTTAAAAGATCTTCAAAATTTCAATCAAGCGTTCCCAGAAGCCTTCCCTCCATGGAGAGGAGGGTGGGTTAATTTTCCAACGAATTTCATTGACTCTAAATTCACTTTCAATTGTAGTCCAATCTAATTGTTTCAGAGCGTTGCATTATTTTAGTCCTGTAAAATTAGTACCATTGTCTGAATACATCACAGAAATTTCGTCCTCTTCTGGCTATAAACCTACGCATAGCTTGGATGAAGTCATTTGGTACTACTCAGTGAAGGTATTAGCTCAAGATGGACAGCTCTAAATACGGCGCAAGTAAAAAGTACTATCCACACCTTTTGTTTAGATTTAGTCAACAGAGGTCCAGCTATATCTACACCCAAATACTTGAAAAACTGCTGCTACTTCTGTTCGGTCTTTTGGAAGAGGCGGAAAAGGTACCTCAAGATGTTTTCACCTTTTGCCTTTTACATGTTAAGCATTCTTTGGATAACACTCCGGACAGTTCTTTTCCCTTTCACTATCCAAAATCTTTCCCGTAAAATAGTCAAGTAGAGTTAATGTCCCAGCATGTTTGTTAGCAATATGTTCTTGGGCTATAAATCTTCTCACTGCCAGGTGTTTCGATGGTAGAATTATTGGAGAAATAAAATCTTTCGATTCATTCTCCTCATTTATCAATCTGGACTTCAATCGTAAAATTCCTTCTTCATCTTCAAATATTAGAAGACCTTTCAAAATTTTTTCGTGTTTCTTCATTGGAGTAACATTCCTTTTGTATTACACGGAAAATAAGTCCTTTGTGCATTTAACAATTCTTCATTTTTGAAGTTCCTGTACATTTTCTTTAAGTCTTTGGCCTTTGGTTGAAAATGCAGTATCCAAGCCATAACCCTAATCATCTTTGAAAATCTAGAGAATCTTTTTCTGGCTAACTGCAGTAATGGAATTGACTCTAGCTCTGTGTTACTAGCAAGAGATGACTGACTTTCGTTTCTCTATCTCTACTTCTTTTCGTTAATATTTACAGCTGACTTTGGCCACTGCTCCTTCGGATTCTTCAACCAGGCTGGCCCTTGCCACCACTTGCGTTTCTGAAGTTGCCTAGGTCCACAACCTCTTGACAAAATGTCTGCTGGATTCTGGTCAGTTGAAATATGGAACCAATCTTCCGAAATTGTCAATTTTTCTAATCTCACTTATTCTGTTTTGTAACGAATACCGACCACTGTTCTCGACAAGTTATCCACACAAGAACTGTGGAAGAATCTGTCCAAAAGTAAGTCTTGATGTTGGGAAGTTTTTAGAGCTTGCTTCACAGAACTAAACAGCGTAGCACCTATGGTAGCAGCCATTAGTTCAAGACGTGGTATAGTAATAGTCTTCGTTGGAGTTATTCGTGATTTGGCTTGAAGTAATTGAACAGTCACTG